TCTCTCTCTCTCTCTCTCTCTCTCTCTCTCTCTCTCTCTCACACACACACACACACACACACACACACACACAGCATGCATGGAAAAATTACTGTTCTGAGGTTTTTTTAAAAACCGGCTTCTATAGAGAAGATTTGTAGTGATATAATTGTCCTTTATTTGTAGGAAGAAAACTAGCAAGGCTATCTGGCATGCAGGAAAAAGTAGAATATTCACCAGGGAATTGTCTCAACTGACACCCTTTTCCTCAGAACACTAGCTAGCTAGCTAGCTAACTAGCTAGATAGATAGAATACACTTGATTCAGAGGCAAAAGAGTATTCTGACAATGCCTGGCTTTGGTTGCTGTTATGAAGATTCATTGGCAGAACTGCCTGCATATTTTAGTTCAAAGCACTAAAATTTTCAATTGTTTAATTTTAGACGAGCAATAGGTAGAAAAGTCTGTTATTGCTAGCCTGAAGTTTCAATTTTAAATAGTAGCTGCCATCTAGTTTCAACTTTTGCTGTTAGACAAGCCTCTGGATAAGCTCCAGAAGACTACAGTATGGATTCTAGCAATAGATAGTTCCATGAATGTAGAAGCAGGGAACTGGAAGAGTATGCATTAATTGTGCCTTTTTAAGATAACTTATTTTTGATCATTTTCTTGGTTATTTTCTGAAACCAGGACAATCAGGACTGTATTTTTCAGGTGAGCTGATTTCCAGAAGGAATCAGTATCCCATGGCATAAAAAAAACTTTGGAAAATATATGTGAATTTTTCCAGTAGTTGTAATGGAAGCAACCTGCCTAATTAGTGGAAAATCAGTATTTTAAGAGCAGTTCTAAGGATGCTTTCAGATGAGGCTTTTGTTGTTTTAATTGCACTGCTTCATACACAGAATTTTATGTGGGGGTCTAGATGATGACATGTTTGATTTGTAACCCTGCTGTGTTTTCCAACTGCTGCTTATATCTTCTTCCTTACAAGAAAAATCCATGAAGGAAGAAAAGATAGAAAAATAAAAACAGATATCACCTATTCATTTCTTCACTCTTCATTGCATCTTTCTCATTTGTTGCAGTTTTTATTGCATCTGTCATATTTGTTGGTTAATGGGGACACATGGAAAAATGCACAGTGGGATAATTAATTATCTTGGCTAGAGCTGTTTTACTCCTGAGGCTATTTGACTTCTTTAGGGGCTATCCATCAGTTTCTTTATAGTCTGCTTATAGTGTACACATTGGTGGTATATAAATCCTAAAGAAATATAGAGCATATACAGAAACAACCAAGAAAAACAATAGAAGTTGCTTCATGTTGCAAACAGAGTACCAGTTACAAGGGCCAGGTTATCTAAAGGAGCATATCTTCCCATACATGCCTACCCAGCCCCTTAGATCACCATTGCAGGTCATTATTAAGGATCCCCATTCTTAGGAAATAAGGAAGATGGCTACAAGTAGAAGGTCCTTCTTGACAGTGGTAACCCAACTATGGAACCAGCTCACCAGAATGGTTTGCCTGGCACCCTCTTTGTACTCTTTTCGGCACCAGGTGAAGACCTTTTATTCTCTTGATATTTTAATTGTTAGGATGATTTTAATGGTTGTAGTATCTTATATCTGTTTTATAATCTGCTTTTGTGCCTTTTATTTTGTACTTGGTTGGATAAATTGAGGTTCTACGAAGTTTTATAATGTCACTGTTTTTGGATTGTTGGATTTTATTTTTATATTAATTGTCATTTTAATATCATTTTTATTGTATATGTTTAACCTTGTAACCTGCTCAGGAAGCTTATTGGCTAATGTGGCAGGATAAAAATCCAATAAATCAATATAAAAACAAATGACTTAACTTTTTGTTCCACCTGAAGTAGGGAATGGGTCAAAGATGATTGACTCTTTGTGAAGTAGGCTAATCATTATGTCAGGTTTAGTGGTAGGTCTGACTTTGCCTCCAGCAAGTAACATTCTTTAAATAGATAAACAAATTTAAGAATAAATTCCCATGATGTGAGAGGAGAGACAATCTGAATACATCATTAATCAGCTTATGTGCCTATGTCTGGAAAGGTGACCACCATACCACTGGAGAGCAAAGGAATGGATAACTTTTAATGATATTCACAGAAAGCAAGCTTTGTAGCCTGCCAATGTGTTCTGGTTTTGTCCAACCATTATAAAGAAAATGGGCGGGGTTGTGTAGTGCTGTATTATTTTTTCTTGTAAAAATGCAATAAATATCTTGGATTAAAGGAACAGCTAACATTCTCAGAATGACTGTTTTGTGAAACAGTATATAAACTCATTTAAACAAAAAAGAAGGGCATGTCATTCACTAATGCTTGTAGTATTCAATGTTACTGGATGTTAAAGGAGATAATGAGTAGATAGTTGAAGAGTGAATATGCATGAAGGGTAATTTTTTCCATCTGCCCCATAACTTTTTGGGTAGTACTGAAGTTATTAAAGTTGTAATAACTGTATTTATATGATGGCTACTTTCAAGAGGAACTAAGATTGTTTAACAAACTGAAATATAGTTTGCATTTCAGTGTTCATTAAAAAAATAGGCAGGGAAAGTAAGTATTTGAAGGGAGTTATTTCTGTATTAAGGTACAAAGTCCTAGTGAGTAGAGTATGAATGTAGCCAGTCAAATTGCTATTTGGCGAACAGGTCTTTAATATATACAGGCTCACACTAACTGGTGTATGAGAAACTGAATGTTAAATACAACCTGCTATTCTGTAGCAGACTATCACCAAGAGCTCCAAAAGCTGACCAGCCTATACACAACTGTGGTTTTACATCTCAGTCCTCTTTCAGTTGATGGGAAAGTGATGCCTGTCTGCTTATAGAAAAAGGAACTGCGACAATGGAATAGTATGGTCATCTAGGAAAATCAGTCCAGAACATGCTCCTATATTACTACTCTATTCAGAAGAATTCTGAATGAATATTTGACTTTTTTTTTTTTACTAGAAGCAGCATGGAGATTTGAGTTGTTTAGCTGTTGTGGTATGACCTGTGCTTTAACTTTTTTATGGGTTTAATGTGTAAGTGCATAATTGTGATGTCTGGTTGTGGTTTTTTAAAAAATGCACTCTTTGAAAAGGGCTGACAGTTCCTCCAATGTCCTACTTAGGTGCTTGGAAGGTACTTGCACTAGCTGTCCAATTGGAGATTATTTTGCACAATCTCAAAAGGGACAAAAAGGCTATGACAAGCACAAAAGGTTCATGGCAGGGGTATTGCAGACAAATTAGTTATGTTGCAGGTATGCTTCAATATTTGCAGGAGGACTGAGGGGGAAGGAGAAGAGAAAAACTCAGGATGAGCACAGTTGTCTGTCAAGCTCCCCCATAAAGAGAAGTTGTGGTTTGGTGTTGGTTGTGAACTTTAGCTTCATAAACCACAGTTTGTTTACTCTGGCTGGGTTCAGACAACATAATAAACCATATTTCAACAACAACCCACACTCAACCCTTTAGTGTGTGCTATGTTTTCTGAACCAGAGAAAATTAATTGACTAGTGTAAATCTCTAGGATACATATATGAATGTCTGATTTTGGATCTGAATGGTTTAAATGAGTTGACCAATATGATGATTTTTGTCTTTTTTCTTTTTAATAGGAGTTGTTAAAAGACCCTTTATATATTGGGCTGAAACATAAACGAATCAGAGGCCAAGCTTACGATGATCTTCTAGATGAATTTATGCAAGCTGTGACTTCCAGGTAATGGATTTTATTTGTGCAGTTGACTGTAGAATGTCCGTGAATTTCACTTTACTCAGAAGGAGGAGGGAAGCTTAACTGTTTTTCTTCTGTACAGTTTAAATTGCTTGAAAATGCTGTTGTTTGAGCTCATTTGTTGATAATATTGAGCTGTTGGGAACTTACTTCTGTAGAGAATAACAAGAAGCTGTGGTGGGTATGGGAAGTGACTGTTTTTATTATATTAGGAAAAAGCTCTGTTTTAAAAACACTTAATTTAGATTGAAGGAAACCATAATGCGAAGAGGCAGCTTTTATGGTAAATACCTTTGCTACAGTACTTGAGATTTGTTTATGTCTAATGGCCAGAATGTATGAAATACTGAACAAGCAAATAAGGGTTATTGCACATCTTTGCTTGGATGTATGTACATGTAGCAGTAAGCCACCCAGGCATCCCCATTCTTCCAGTCAACTGGGCTAAAAATTCTGCCCAGTAACTCCCTGGTTCCAGTACTCTGGACCAGACATTGGATTCAGCACAGGACAACTCAGCTGTTAGGGAAAAGCATAACTATTAAACGGATAAAATATAGGATTGGAGGGTACTAAAACAGCAAAAAGATGTTAAAGGAAAAGAAGGTGGGAAGAAGAAAGCAGTAGGGATTTAGAGAGCAGGTACAACAAAAATTCCAGCCAGCCAGAGCCACACAACTTCTGGGCCTTGTTGGCCTGCTCAGACATGAAACAACAAAGCTCATCCTGGCCTCGGCTATACACACAAATGCTATATCAGCATCAGGCACAGGCAGTGCTAGGTAGCACAGTGTTATTTGGCGTGGAGAACAGCAACAAAAGTGGAACCTCTCCAGGCAACATAGGCAGGGAGTATACCTTGGATTGAATTTCAGGCACCGTGGTTGATGAGATACTTGCAAAGAGTGGCAGGATTGAGTGGGGAGGATTGAGATCACAATAAACTAGATAAATAAAGAAATAAACCACAACCACTTTATTGTCTATCCAGTAGATAATGGTAAAAAACCATGAACCATGATGACCATGCAAAGTTGCTTACACTCACCCTGTGTCTCTGAAGCAACATCATAGACTGACCACAGTTTTAATGTCTAATTTTCTTAGTATGTGATGTGTTCTGTATTGTATCCATTCTTTCCGTATGACAAAAGAAGACAAAAGTATAATGTTAACTTATAAGGAGTACTGCATAAAATGAACATCTAATAAACAGAATTTCATACTTTGCTTCCTTGAAATCAGGGCCAAATAATGCAACATATGCAGTCATGCATATTTTTTCTCCAATGTTTCCTTCATTGAAACAGAAGTACGCAGGATATCAACAATCAAGTGAGTGAGGGAATTTGAATGGCAAGTAACCAGAAAGGAAAGGGTTAAATAGTCCTTTCCTTTCCATTCCTGCTAGCAACTTTGTACTTAGAGGCTACTTTGTTTTGTTTTTAAAATTATTTTGGAGAAAGAAACTGCTGGAGAACCTTGCTTATGACTTATTTGTGTTGTCTGCTGTCTCTGCATGACTGCTGCTGTGCCCTCAGATTTTGGGATCTGTATGGAACCTGCTTTGTGGGTGGGAATCTATTGGATTCTCTTAACTTGGCTCCCTGGACTCCAGCCTGTTTTCTCATGGCTGTGAATCCGACCTAGCACTTCAGCTGTGCCTGCGTGGCTGCTCAAGGGCCATCCCACATGCCTTGCAGCCTTTGTTTGTGTTGCCCATGCTGTGGAAGAAGGGTGCCAGTTGAACAATCTGTTGCACACATGTTCGTGGATTTCCTCTCAGCTCAGCTTGCTTCCTAACTCAGGACAGAACATGAGAAGAAGTCCATCGAACAGGAAGGAGCTGGATCCTGAGAGGTTTGTTACAACCCTAGTGCCTGCCTGCACTCATTTTTGTTTTAAAATGAGGTGTGGAGGAAAAGACAGAGTCATAGAATAATAGAGTTGGAAGGGGTCATGAAGGCCATTGAGTCCAACATGCCTTACTTTAATAAAAAATTACACTCCCACAAGGAGTATGATTTTGCATTTTAAAAACATGCATCTCATTCATCCCATTGTAAAGTAAAAATGCACCTTTTTCTTGCTGCCAAATTGCTGATGAAATCTAACAACAATCTCTGCAGCAGTGGGGGGATATCGCTCCTGGTGGATTTGAGGAGGTTGAAGTTGGCCCCGGAGTCTCTAAATTTGCCCAACTCTCTTTTAGTCAAGCTGTTATATGCACTTCATTTCAGTTACTATATTGTTACTATTTATATGTATAACTCTTTCACATATGAGTTTGCATTTTTACATCTGGTTTGAGTGTTCAGACTTCAGTGGTGCTGATGTTAGGCAAAACCATATTCCCTTCAGCTTTATGGGTTCTGATGAAAGATAAAAATGGTGGTTTCCATTCTGTGCAGGAGATTCTTTGACACAGATTTCTATCCAGATTCAACTCTCAGCAATTGAGTCATAAAACTGATAATGAACCTTCACATAAAAGATGAGCAAGCCTGGCCTGAGCTATGCTACTATAAACTAAAACATCTCTAATGTACATCTCACTTCAGCAGCTATTCATTTACCCTAACCATACCCTAAGCATATGGGCTTTATTTCTACTCCAGAAGTACAGATGTCCTTTCATTTCCATAGTCAGTGATTTCTAGATTTTACTGGTTGGTACTACTCAGCCAACCAGCTTATGCTGAATGTTACTCACAGACTTCCTTTCAGGCCTTTGTTCCTAGAATTAGCCTTCCTCACCTCTTTGCAGGATTTCCATAATTTTGACTTCTCCTGTTCCTGATTCACTGCAGCAAAAGTGCTGTCTTTGGGAATTACTTCTGATTGCCTAGATCTAAGCTCATCCTTGAGTCATGGCTGACCCCACTGGGTACAGCTATTACCCAATGCAGTGTAAGAGTGCAGTGTTAGAGTAATTTGGGTACAGCTGTTACCCAGTGTCAGTGCTGTGTAAGAATGGGATTTGTTTTAAGTGTTAGAGGTTCAGCTCAGGGCACAAACATGTGGTAAGTATAGATTCACAGATCTATAGGATAGCCACTGAGCTGCTTTGTATAACTCTAGGTTAGACCTCAAGTTTTGTTAGAAGTTTTTGTTTTTGTATAAATAAAATGTTAAGTGTTTTGTTATAACAACACATTTGAAGATTTGATATATGTAGGCTGATCAAACCATTCATCCCTTTGCAGCATCTCCCCTTAAGCTTACATGGACTCCTTAAGGTTAATGCCTTCATCTGCTTTGTCATCAAATGGAAGGAAAAGTGAATAGTGCAACTTAGGTTTATTTTCCCTTGCCTTGCCTTGCCTTGCCTTGCCTTGCCTTGCCTTGCCTTGCCTAAGGGCCAGGAAAGAAAAAAAGCCATACAATAATTATAAATAGTCAGATTTTAGAATGATGGTTTTGTTTAACATTTCATTAGACTGTTACAGAACTTGTCATTAATTTATTCATTTGGCACAATCTTTTCCTTTGGCAAAGGAATATATTGGCAAAAAATCAGTTAAACATCACTCTTATTGGAAATCACGAAGGAATGGTTGGACCACACAGCAACTTCAATAGCAACTATTGCATTTTAGAGTTCTTAGTTTAATCAGATTTCGGCTCATTTTAGATTCATGCCTACCACTAGTCCCATGTACAAATTTTTATTTCTGCAAATTCTTCTGCGAGTTACTGTTGTGATTATAATCATGACTGAGAAGAGCTTGTATTCCTGTCTACTTGCAAATTGGCCATCAGTAATATGAAAAGAATTGAATATGAATTTCTGAATTTTCCATGATGTAAGAGGAAAAAATCCAAAGTAAAATTGGATAGTTTCTAAAACTAAGCAAAATTGGATAGCTTTCATCAGGGGACTACTTTAGAAATTAAGGCATTATTAGCCTTTAAGATCCCAGAGATTTGGCTTTTCCATTGCACTAAGTATTCACCTATATGCAGCTGTATCACAAGTCACCTCATGAGAACAGTTTGTCACAACATGCATTTGTGTTAATGTGACAGCTGTATTTAGGGAGAAGGAATCATGAGCCGCCCCGAGGCTTTGTTGCAATGGGGGCGGCATAGAAATGTTTTAAATAAATATTTAAATAAATAAATAAATAAATAAATAAATAAATAATGAGATTAACTAGAAGAGTAGGTAGTGATTATTTTACAATAGAACAGTTTGGCCAGGGATGCAATAAATTTCTTTTGCATTAAAGCAACTATGATATGCCACGTTATTCTGACTCACAGAGTAGGTTTTTCAGCTGTTTTCTGCCACTTCCAAAGAACTAAGTTATGTCCTACAGCTACTGAGGAGAGCATTTATCAAAAAAGTATGATGAAGAACATACATAGCAATTTACAAAATGGCTAACACAGCAAGAAAATGTACAGAACATATTTCTCAGGCTGCCTAACATCCCCAAGCTGTGTATCTTGGGGTGAACAGTTACGTAATGTTTGGTTTTTGATAAATTTAGCTGTACTTTTGCTGCACCCAGCATTCTCTCTGGACAGTGGTTTTTAAAAATGCAAGCAGAAAAACCGTTATTGAGTAAATGGAGTAAATGTTTGAGTAACTGGTACATTTGCCAGACATCCAGTTCATTTTCAGGAACCGTTTCTCTTGCAAAACTTCAGATAATATGATAGGGCTCCTGCGCATTCAGTACTTGTGAAGAAGAGGAGCTAATGGACTTCAGGTTTGAGGTATGTATTTGGTTTTTCTGCTAGGACCTGGAGATCCACTACTGGGACCAGGTGTAAAAGAGGAGCTCTGAGTTAAAGAATGAGAACAATTGTAAAATGTAGCCTAAGGGATGGCTTGAGTGTTGGACTTAGACTCAGGGAATCTGTCTTCTAGTCCCCACTCAGAAATGAAGCTCACTGGGTGAATCAGGACCAGTCACTCACTCTCACTCTAAGCTACCTCACAAGGATGAATTGGAAGGGAGTATCATCTAGTACTG